GACAACTCACTGAAAAACTGTCTTGTAAATTTGAAACCTGTAGGACAACTTTTTGTCAAACTACAGCTTTTGTAGGAATTAATCATGGTGTCATAGGCAAGATATTTGGCATTCTAAGTTAATTTTTGGTTTTGTTTGAATTAATTATTCTGTAAATAGGTAATTAGCTCTAATTTAAATTGTAGTTAGGAAAGACTGGATTTTCAGCAACCAGTACCCAATTGTTTTAAAAGGCAATAAAGAAACTATCAAGCTAGAATTTTGCAGTTCATTCCAACAAGAAAAAAATCATTTATTTATATAGTTTGACAGCAAAAAAAAAAGTAAAAAGTAGTTAATGAATTTAGTAAATAGTAATTAATGAATTTACTAACCTTCTGGTCCACAAACCTCTGGATTACTAATGCAAGAATTTTGATAGCTTCCAAAAAAGAGAAAGGTAACTCCTTTCTTTTCAGTGACGTAAATTCCTTTGTTCACCATTCCTTCTACCATATCTAAAGTAAAAGCAAAATACAGTTTAACATTTATATAAATTAAAACTACCTAGAAACATGCTTTTAACAGACTCATACATCTCGCATGTTTATCTTGACCCAACTCTAGGTTTTCTTTTGTTGCATTTTTTGTTTTATTTTTCACTTTTGTTTGATTTTGGTGGGGCTTTGTTTGTGGCGGGTTTTTTTGGGGGGGTAGAGTTGTGTACTTTTTTTTAAGAACCATACGTATATCTCTTTCATTTCAAGTTTGTTAAAGTTATACTCATATCCATCACTTGGACTCTTGATTAACTAAGACTGCTTGACAGAACCCCTACACCTAAAATTATTATTTCAAAGTAATGTGAATAAACCTTATGCTTTCCAGCATTCTGAATATCAGACACATTATAGAGGTATTTCTGTTGCACTGCTAGGCTGAGTTAGTGAAGAAATTCTTTAACCAATCAAAAATGTAACAGAATAGGGCTTTTGCATTTTTTGAAATGGAAATTTTGTGATCAAAAGCCAAAATGCACTGAAATAGACTTGACCAGCTATATTCAAAAGGCAGAAATACATATTCTTTCCAGACATCCTTTGGTACGTCAGCATTGTCATTTGCAAAGGCTATTTCTTTGTCCAGCATGGATAATGACTAACTGACCTGTGATTTGATTGTGATTTTCTTGCGTTCCCTCCTAAAGAAAAGCACTCTTGATTAATTTCCTACTAGCACTCAATACTAAAAAAACACGACACTTGTGTACTATACAAAAGCAAGGTCTGAGAGTCCAGCTGACAGATAACAATGGGAAGTTCATCTCGCTGGCCCCAAGGTAAGAAGAGGAACTAATTTTAGCAATGAAGACAATAGGAAATAGCAATCAAAAAATTCTGCTGCGTTAAAAAGCCTGCATCCCACAGAACACAGAATATTCTATCACCTCTTTCTAAGCAGACAGAACGTAATTGTTCAGTTCAGAATTTCATGTTAATACCATTGTTTGTGATGACATTTCTGCAAGGATTATGAAGATTCAGGATCTGTGTTCTGGGACCCTTCTCTATTTCTCCTGAAAAAGCATTAGGAGAAGAGTTGCTCCAAGGGAAACACCAGCAACGAGAATACAGTCTTTTCCTGCTCTGGGGTGCAGAAATTGCCAGCTAAGTGCTGCTTGATATTTGAAAATCAAACGAGATAAGACAAAAGGTGGAAGACACACAAGTGGCTCACAACACATGAAAGGTGGGACATAAGGGACTTCCCTCTGTACATCTGCCTGGCCTAACAGAAGCCCTTTGTACGGCAGAGCACGATGCAAATCATGCCAAAGGCACGCTGTCAGTGCTAGAGACTGATCGTCTACCTAGAGGGATAATCACAAATACCGTTGTCACTGCTTCAAGGTGGCACAGCCCTTTACACAACAGGGACACGGGCAAAAGGGCATCGCATTCTCAAAGCGTAGACAACGGTCAGGCACGAGGACAGCAGTCATGGGGCTGGCCTGGCTGCAGGACAGCACCACTCCAGGAAACAGCAACAGCGTGGTGTAGCTCTCAGCGAATGGATGTCCAAACATTTTCTTAGTTCATTCCGAATTTCAACACAAATATCAGTTTTCAGGTACCTTCCCCTCTCTTTGAGGAGAAAGTCATCAAGTTCTGTCTCTTGCTGACAGATAAAACTTAGTTTCTTTTAAAAATTCGTGTGTTACAGAGAGAAGCAAACATTTCTAGTTTTTTCTTGAGCCACTGGAATTCTAAGTTAATCTAGCCAGAATAAAACCCATAAGGTAATGCATTTCTGTTTTCATAGCATTGCCGTTGCCATTGAAGTCACTCTTTTTAATGTTCATGTTGAATATATCTTATTATGTGAGAACTATGCAAATGGTCTATAAAGCAGATAAGACAGGACTGAATGGAATTAGGGTCATTTGAAGTTCATTATTAATATAGTTCACATTTGCCAGCATATTTTACTGTTAGAGAGTAGAAAAATAGTGGCTTTAATGTTCTAAAATAAACCTTCTAGTATCTGAGCAGTGCAAATGACAGTTCTACCATTTCCATCCTTCTTCTTAAGTCAGATTTTCCAACAACTAGATGTAAGTTAATACCTAATTGTAAAATGGACAAGAGGTCATATTTCAATTGCACCTATGCAAGTATAAATCCTAGTGACTTAAATTAAACGACTTTAAGCTTATGCCGTTGCAGATGTAACCAGTTTCCAATATGTTAGGTTTCTGCCTGGAGAGCTGTTATTTTCTGTTCTTCCTTTTATCCTCCTGTGTGTTGATGTAAATCTTAATGTGTCTTTTAAAAATTTCTACGAAATAGTAAAAAAATCGTTTTTTTTCCTTTTAACCTTGAATGACAAAAAAAAAAAATCAACCAATTTGCTTTCATATGTTCTCTGAAATGTTATCTCTGTTTCTTTCAAGCTTAACACAAGTATTTCAGGTTTTGGAGGACCACTGGGGGCCATCGTCCCAGGGGCTGCTTAACCTGGGGATATCTATCCCAATAGTTCAGACTAATTAAAATAATATTGCGAGAGTGCTTTTCCAATAATGTATGCCAACCTAAGCGTAAATAGACCTTTACAATGTGACTGCTTGAACCCAAACTCAGCGGTAACTTTGAATCCAATGTTACAAGAACCATCGAAGCTTGACAAATGCAGAACAAAAAAAAGATGTAAATCCTCACCTACAGTTGCAGAGAAGTTAGAGTAGGCAGAGTCATTGGTATATACAAAGGTAGAGTTATGGGAAGGAAGCACAGTGAAGTTGTGGATTCTTAGAGCTGGGTGGAACAACAAAAGAAAATAAGCAAATAAGCAAAACAATGAATAAACACAATCAGTAATGAATTGACCAGTTCATATCTCTCAACATACCACAAGTCGCAGATGTTGGTAAGTGGCCTCTGAAATTATCATACAACCACTTCTCCCGAGGACTTGTATGCAGGTGAATGTCACATTCTTTAACTACACAAGTAAATACACTATCACTAAACCAATTTATTTTCCTTCCAGTAATTGAGAAGGAAAAAAAAAACACTATTAAAAAATACAACTGTAGATAAAAGGCTCTGAAATGTAATTATGCTGGTAAGCAACTGCAATTACAACAAAAAACATCATGCTGGTGCGATAAGGTACGGGCAATTCAAATCCCGTGTCCAGTTCTGGGTTCCCCAGTACAAGAGAGACAAGGACATACTGGAGAAAATCCAGCAAAAGGCCAAGAATGCTCAGACTGCTCAGCCTGGAGAAGGCTCAGGGATCTTATCACTGTGTATAAACACCTGAAGGGAGGTGTAAAGATAGTGCCAGACGTGCCTTAATTGTAGCCAGCGAACAGCTAAGAGGCAACAGGCACAAGTTAAAATACAATAAATTAATTTAAATGTAAGCAAAAAACCCCACATTTTTACATCTGACAATAAAATTGTCCACTGTTTTTTTATTATTATTATTTTAATAATTTAACAGGATGTGCACACTGTACTTATTTACCCTGGACAGGCAAATAGAGCCCATGAAAGTGAATGAACACACATTGATTTGGGATTTAGACCAACTGAGCTCACAGAAGAGAAACGAAAGAGCTCTTAAAAATATGTACACAAAAACCTCAAGAGAAAAATGCATGGAAAAGAAGGGGTCAGTTGGAAAGCCAGAACATTTTTTTTTTTTTTTGCTATATTTTAAGTTGATTCCCTTCGATTGCTTCTACTGCTGAGATCACTAAAAAATTAATTTGCTGACACTCTCTCACAACATAAACACATTGAGAGATATAAATCTGGCTTCACGCACAATGACTTCAACAAATAAAATGGATTAACATGACGGACAGATTATGATGCTTCAAGGATTTAAGAGAAGAAACATGGAATGAAAATAATTGCATGATATGATGAGTGGAAAACCAAGAAAGACTAGCAATAAACAGAAGAGTTGTGTAATCAGAATGGTATCGAACCCAAGCAAATTGTCACCTGCATTAGATTACAACAATAAAGCAAACTTTTTTGAATATCCAAGTCAAATGCCATGTAGATACATAAAAGTTCTGCTGGAGGCAGTTGAAATAACACCTGTGTACTATAACATACAACATAAGCAATCGGGAAGAATTTTATCTATACACTACAACATTAAGGAAAAAATTCAACTTTGTCAGAATTGCACTGCAGAGCAAAAGACTTTTGGCTACTGGCCTCCTTGGCCAATTATGGTGAGACAAAGTCCTCCAGAGTTTTTTCAGCAGTCATGCAGCTGGCTCATTTATAAAATGATTTAACACAATGTCATAATAGGAGTCAAAGGAAATTGCTCATGTGAGCCAATCCCCTTCCTGCAAGTCAAGGTCTGTAGGATCAGGAATTTTGTATGTTCTGCTTTCTCTCTTCCAAGATATTACTGAAAAGGTTTCTGAATTTTGCTCCAATAATGTAATCTAACACAATTTGAAAAACAATCTAACATCAGTTGTCATTTTTCCGAGGGCTGTTTTACATATCACTTTCAAGCACTTTCAAAATAACTTTGTTGTAACACGAGTGCCAAAACAGTGCTAGATATGGAGTGCTTTACTCTTCTTGAAACTACATGAAGTCCAGTGTCAGAAAATTACTTTAACATACTGTTAGAAAACTCATGTGCTAACTTTTTGTAAGCCAAATTACGATCCCATTGAAGTCAATAGGAATGCTGCCATCAGCCTCTAATGGGAGCAGAATATTGCCCAGATTTATTTCTGGCCAGCCAATTTCATTCCTTTATGAAACTTTGTGGAAGATGGGTCAAAGTTTAAGCTTAAAACACTTAAACACCTCTGGAATAAAAGGTTTTAGATATTGATGGTTCTTCTTCCCACTACGGAACAGAGATTGATGTTGCCATTTTTGTGTAATAAACAGCAATATCTTTGCACTTTTGTTATATTATTCATGTAAGGTTGTAAAGGTCTCTAACTCTATATTTAATCTTCTGCACTGATCTTTCTGGGGAAAGATACTACAGTCACCATCAGTAACACAGCAGCTACTCCTTGCATAGCACAAAACTGTTTAGTTCAAGTGCCAAGGTGGTCAGCCATGGTGTGAGAAATACTGGGGAATACACATCAGCCTAACTTGGAATGGGCTACAATGTCAGGTCATGTGAAAATTACTAAGGGACCTCTGAGTGTCAGAACGAGGCAGAGCATAGATGAAAATTTCATCTTGGAGGAATGACCCTGCAAGCCCAAAGTGCTATGGTGGGATACAGTGGTTCCACAGAAGATCCATTAATTACATCATCTGCAAATCCCCAGGAAGCCTCTACTACCCTTTTCATTCCTGATGTGAAACATCAAAACTAGAAAATCGCTCAATCCATCCAGGCTGCTTTTTAACGTCAATCCCTCCGGGATCCTGCAGTCTGACAATCAACTCGTTCAAACCAGTGAGTTTTGCCCGATTGGAAAAAGAATTTAACTAATGCTGCGATACTGCTCTTATGAAAAAAACCACACAAGGATGAAAATGAGTTAGAAGTATTCAGATAAGAGCTTCACTTCTCTTTCTGTAGATACTACATGCAATTTTCAAAAGTGCATGAAGAATTTGGGCATTTCACACCTTCCAAAAAGAAGCAGGAACTGTTGCTGCTGGCATAGTCGAAGATCTCAGTCACTGAGCATGTTATGGTACATGTTATGCAGGTACCGAACCAACTAATAACAATGTGATTTCAATGACTCTTTGGATCATAACCCTTTTCTCTTTATGACCTTAACAATGCACAGACAGCTCATAAAACGTCTGAGAATACTCTATAAAATTCCATTCACAAATACAATATCATTTGGACATTGGAGCATTGCAAAAAAAAAAAAATTCTTAACTGCTGTAGTACAAAAGCTAACCCTTTTCATTTCTCCTGCTCCCTTTCTACTTACGGACTGCCACAAATACTTATTGCCATTGTCAACAAAGTCTTTGTCTACCTCCATTCGCATCCCGAAATTCATGAATTCCATCCACATCTTCCAATGGCCAGTAATGAGAAGCTGAGGCAAGAACTTTGAACCCTTTCAAGAAACACAGATGAAAAGTTTATTAAAGTAAGGACCAACAAGGGGTGCAACAAGTCTCCACAGACGGGAACAATAAAGATCAATAGGTTAAGTAGAACAAGATATTTTATGTAAATCAAGTATAGCACATAAGTGAGATTATAAATCAAAAGTACAGAGTATATTAAAGCCATATATGACTGATTGCAAAAAAATCTGTTTTTAAAACTCAACTGATTTTTATTTTAATTGCACTTAAAACATATAACAATTTCTGACTAAATCTCCACTTGTGTATCAGACAGCACTGGTTGAAGTAACAGCTAAGGAGTCATTCAAGAGTAATTTCAAGATTTTACTGATATTTTAAACATGCAGTGGATAGTAGAAAGCATGGAGAAGGGAATGCACTAGGGAATGTTTAGCCTCTATAGCAGACTTCTCCTCCTCCTGCCTCCTCCGTAGATAACTCAGCTTTCTGCAATTCAACAGTGCAGGAGAAGATTCTAGAGAATTTCCAGGAATCTTACCCTCTCTCAAAAACCGCTGCAATGCTTTCAGTTTATAATTCAAGCATTTTTTCACCTTTGGTGTTCTATGGAGAGGCACTAGGCAGATGTAGTAAGGAGCAGAAGTGCCTGCACAGTTGTTACTGCAGAGTTTAGCCTTCCTGATGTCTTCACATAAAATGTCACCTTAACAGAGTCATAGAGCAGAAGCTCCTTTAACAGAAGGATTTTGACATTCCTCAAGAGAAGAAGAGGTTCCAGAATATTAAGCAACATACAGAAGAGTTTGCTCCTCCCCACACTGCACTTGCTACTCCTTCAGAACCTTCTCCACTACATCAAAATCCGAACTTCTCGTGGCTGATGAGAACATTTTGTTTTCCTTGGGCGAGCTGACAAAAGCAAAACATCTGCTGCCTTCCATTGGCAGATTTATCTGCGCAGTCTAATGGATGAGTTTGAACAGATTTTAGGAGATGTGACTACTCAAACATGGCCAGAAGCAGGCTGCCCAAAACAATCAAGTTTTCTGTTAAGACAACAATTCTATTTGAAGAGTAGAGCATTAATAATGTAGGAAAATATGAATTATATTTTCTTATTATCTATCTTGTTAGCAACAAGAAACCCTTTATTCTCAAACTAATTAATTTAACTAGCTGTGCTGAAATAAATTTGTAATCTCCTGAATCTAAGAAAGTTTTAGAAGGTTGATACAGAAATATACAGAAATTTTATTCTGAATGCAAATGAGAACATCTTTCGCTAACCATCATGGCATATAATCCTATTAGTTTGAGTTAATCTTTTCTTTGAGGCATGGTGGAATGACACAGAGGACAACAACAACAGAGAGCAAGTATTTATATGACACCATATCTGAAGTTCTTGGCCTCACAATTATTTTTCATTTCCCAGCAATCTTTCAAGGACCTGAGGTACAAAGCTGATAGAGCTAGGTTTGTTAAAAACCACTTCCACTGTCATACACCATACAAAAGCTACCCACACTTAGTGTGTAAATTAAAACACATCACAAGCAGCATTTACAGTATATCCCACGTCCTTGTCTATTTGACAATTCTTTATCATTTTAACATCCTGGATACAAACAGGATTTCTTTATCATGGATTTGAACATGAAAGAGTTTTATTTACATCCTTAAACTGCCTAGCCCACACAGCAGAGATCAGTTTGATGTCCTCCATCCTCGTGATAAAGTTTCAGAGCTGTATTGCAGAGAAGATCCTAAGATTTTTTTTTAATCTAAGAGCGCAAAGCTGATAAAATTGCTAAACATCACAACAAGTGATTGTAGATCTGTGAGCACAGAACTAAAAGAAGCTCTGCATCTTGTGGGGATACACAAACTATTGAGATTTGCTTCCAAACTCAACTATACCAAAAATATCTAACAAATTATTCATAACTGACCAGGAGCTATTACTGGTCTGCCTAAGGAGAAATGTTTGCAGTTGTCTTAGAGGTTTTCCCACAGAGAGTGAGCATGAGCATAAATAGATAAGATGGGGATGTCTTTAGGGAACTGGGTGGGATTCTATGGATACATACTTCCTTTGAATATTTGGAAGAGACAAAGAAAGGCACAATAGGTGAGAAAAGGAGAAAGCTACTGCCAACCAAAGAAAATAATGACACACAACAAGCATGTACACAACCCAGTATGAAAATTCCAGGCACCCCAAACTCAACTAAGCCGAGCGTGGCAAAGCACATTGAGGAAGCTCAAGATTTTTTGCATTTACATAAACTAAATCTGGGTATGTCCTTAGTTCTATCTTCACAAAACATATTCTGGCTGCTGCGAAAGAAATTAAAGTTATCTATTTCTATGGTATTAAGATTATCCACATAGGCTACCTAGGCTAACATACCTCCATTAGACTTTGAAATTACCAGTTCCATTTTGCAGAACACAGAACATACTTGCTATTTCACAGCATACTTATATGCAAATATCTCTTGCTCCCTTTTGTAACAGGGGAAAAAAAGGATTAAAGTTGAGAGATGGTAGAAAAAAAAATAAATGAGAAAAATAGAAAAGAAAAAAAACAGGAGAAAATTATTTGATGCCAAAAAACTATCATAACGTGGCACAAGTATTTTGACAGAAGTAGTAGTAGCAGCGGCAGCATGGTGAAGGCATTGCCATGGTTGGCATCAAACTCATAAGGAGAAGCTATACTCTAAGGAGCTTATATCTGAAAGCTGGAAATGTGGGGAAAAAATGGGAAGGGGAACAGATATACTGCAAAGTGAATTGCCTAGAGCCACAGTGCAAGGCAGTGGCTTTCCCAGCTCCCAGTTCTGAACTATACAATGCCATGCTGTCACCCCACTTCCAGCCAAGCAGCCCCGAGAAGACCTCTGAAAACAAGTACCGGTTGCCTGGAATTTAACTTACACTTAAAATATTCTTTCAATAGGTTTAGAATAAAATCAGAGGACTTGTTTACAGCCTAAATCAAATCCAGAAAGCATTGCTCGCAACTATGCGTGCACACACACACACTGTACTACAAAATAAGTGTGGTGTAACCTGCCCCCTTATTGCAGGAGGCTTTTTTGCCCTTTTTATTCCACCAGCTAGAAGCCAGCGATTCTCATCTATAGGAAATGAGGCTGTATTTCTTTGGTTTTGAGTGAAGGTAGAACAGAAGAAACTAATCGGGCTGAAGCTACTGCAATAGGAGACAGCATGGCTCTTCTGAATCGCTCTGTATTTTATGTGAAAAAAGTTACATACAGTTAAAACTTAAAAGCACAAAGCAACACATGAACTGGTAAAGCAGTAAAATTGTACTAGTACACCACCAAGAGGCTTGAGGTTAAACTATTTATATAAACAGAAGAATTTGCAGTTACACACACAGACCCCAAATAAGCTTTGAGTGAGTTTTTCTACATTGAAAACAGATGAGAGATCCTTAATATGCTCTATAATTAATTTAAACTTAAGCATGAAGGCTGGGAGGAGGGTAGATGCCTTGAAGTCATGCCAAAGTACTCTAAAGTATACAAGCTTGCATATCTAACTGTAGATCACTGAACTGAAAATGCTGAGCACTAAGACATTGAGGAAAAGAAGCCTGTGGAGAGGTCTGATTCAGAAACTCACGTGCAAAAAAAGTAATAATAAACCAACAGTGTATATAGGATGTTTCCATATATCAAATACAAGCCATTTTTCTCCAAATGAATTTCTATGCTGAATATTTAGTAGGTAGGCTACTGAATTTAAAATGACTGATACTCTAGACTTTATTACATTTTTAATACAGAGCTGACATTCAAATGTACGATCACAGTTTCTTTGGAGCCACTAAGAAAATGAAAAATACAAACTAAAAAATGTAATAAATATTTAAGTATATTATCATAAAACATATATTAAACATTCCTTACCTGGGTGTTTGGGTAGCTGGGAATAGTTTCCATGCACCTGCACATAAAATATTACATAATGAGACACAGTGAGGCAAAACTTGCTAAGAGGAGTCCAAATATAACTCAATACTGACCATATTCAGAACATTACCTGATATTTGTACTGAAACAAAATCAGCAAAGAATAATAACAACAGAGCAGAGATAATAAGTTCTCCATGGTCTGTTTAAGGTTAAAAGTACAACAGAAATGAGATTCCTGTAAGATTTCAATCATAAGTTTTCCTTTGCTACTTTCTGTATTAAAAGCAACATTTTCCATGCAGGTTCAAAAAGTCCGTTCCTTCGGTGATGGCAAAATATCCTTCCAGACCCTTTAAGGAGTATTTGCTTGCTTCCCACTTTGATCTCTTCATTTAACTGTAAATAAATTACCGTGATTGGAGGAAAATTAAAAAGAAATGTGCATCAGATCCGAAAGTTGTACTGCTCCATGGAAGGAAGTCAAATATTTCTGTTACAATCTGTGCCAAAAAGAAAAGATCTTGTTTTCAACTTTGTTCCTATGGCTGTCTTTTCCTTTCAATTACTTTCACGTTGTCAGCGATCTGAAGCCAGTTTTAGTTTTGCCAGCAAGAAAATGTACTTCCTTACAGCACATAGGGCATGTAACTCTCACTATTTGCTCAGAAACTGAGCTGAAAAGAGTTGCTAACTCCTCGCTTGTCCTGCTCACGTTTGCACCTCCATCCCAGATCTTTTTGGGTGGAGAGCAAGTCTGAGTGATGTCATGCTTTCTTCTCAAACTTTGTCCCATTCTGGTACTCTATTTATACCGCGCTGCTGCTGTCTCTTTTCTGGGTCCTAACACCAGCCAGCCGGGAACAAGTGGAAACAAGTCAATGTGCTTCAGCAAACACATAAAAGGGATCACTGCTCCTAGCAATCTGTGTGCTTAAGGAAGAATCTGAGCCAGAACAAGTGTTCGTAGTTCAAATGCTTAAAAAAAAATAAAACAGGGTTTGGACAGAATATTTTGAAGGAAAGCTAAGATCTATTTATTAAAATAAAGGATTGTATTTCTGTCTAAACAAGCATGACCTTTAGAAAAACGCTGATTTAAATCACACGGCACTCTGAGGGATTAGTTTTACTACATCTTTATCAAGAAGGGGAAACTGAGGCATTAGCCATTTCACTGGTTTGCTCAAAGTTGCACAAAACTAGGAAAATACTCCTGTAGTTGCCACCTTATCTTTTTAATAAAAAATAATTACATTTAAGTATTTTCATAAGAGCCTCTCAATTATGCACGTGAATTATATCACAAACAGTAACCAGCATTTTATATGTAAAATAGCAGCTAGAGCTACCTGATAATCTCCATTTAATATGTCCCTCTAAGTTAAATTCTTTTCAGTTCCCTCCAAGTTCTTTACTTTCAGTGAAACATGTTTCGGGAGTCTTCAGGTACCTAACATCAGCCTGTATTTGCCTGGTTCCTCTTCTTCGCTCCATTCCTTCCACTATATTAGCCCTCCTGTCTACTTCTTAAGCCCAATTTCTGCACCAAACTCTTAGTTAGAGTTGATTATAACTTTTAGGATGAAACAGTTTTCCACTGACACTTTATATAGAGATCATATGTAGCTGAAAGTCCAGCAAGTTTGGCCACAGCTGTGAACTGACCTCGCTAGCTCCCCAGGGGCATACGGAACTTCTGAAGCTTCTGGTGGCTACCAGCTCCTTGCAGATGACCGGTAAGTGGGTGTGACATGAGGGTTAAAGGACTGAAGAGATCAGAATTAAATTTTGGAAATCTTAAGACATTCATGCTGCATGAATGCTTCAATGTTGTCAAAGTCTAACATTACAAAAATTCAGTGTGAAAATGTGTATTTTGTTTGTAACCCTGATTTGGGAGATACAACAAAATTATTTTTTAAAATTTTGAATTTCAGTTCCTACAAAAGTGAGCTTCCCACTTAGTTAAAACCAGGCTGACTCTTGCTGATGTCCCTCTAGGTTTTTTTAGACTCCTTCCCTAATTACTGTCAGCCACAAACTCTTCAATATCGTGTAGAAGAAATTCTGTGTAAAGCCTAGGAATTCTGCATCACATGCTGACAAGTAGAGACACCCTTAGAAATAATAGACAGCTGCAGCTAAAAATCCTGAGAAAAGCTAAAAAGTAAAAAGAGAGACAGGAATTTGAAATATTTGCCAAGAGGGGCCTGTCAAGGGAGAGAATATGCTTACCAAAACAATTGTGAGAATCCAAGCAAACATGTTCTCTGCCAAAAATTTTTGTGGAAACAGCAAATTGCAAGCAGACATCGGAAATTATTTGCAGAAACAAATTCTGAATTTATTCCTGTGATCCTCTGGAAACCTGATCTGAAAAAGTCACACTGCTCCCACCGCCGAGCAGAGGCAGCAGCGGGCACCTCGCGTGCAAACTGGAGGAACAGATCCAACACTGGGAAGACAAACAATCACAGTGGATTGATCCTGAAGAACCTGTGGATGAAACGATGTTTATTTAAAGTACTTGCATATCAATAAAGGCACAAAGGTCTGCTGATGCTGGGTAACTGGGCAGCCCATGCTAAGCCTGCTGGAGAGGTTTCTCCCCAGCGCAGCTCTCGCAGCCGGCTGTGCTGGAGCACCGCTGAGGGCGGGAGCAAGGAAAGAGAAAGCTGTGAGCCCTTAATTTATATTATAAATGAAAATTTAAATCAGAAACAAAACAAGAAAAAAAAAAAAGGGATTTGAGGAGAACTGCTCATCCAGGTGAACTGGTTATCTAGAATAAAATTCTACATATTAGGTAATATTTTGATTAGTGATTCCAGCATGTTTGCTGTATTTTCAGAAGTTTTGCTTATTTAAAAGGACCACTGCTATTAAAGTGGCTTCTTTCAACTTCAGCAAGTAAGTCTTCCTGTTCCCCAAAAGGACAATTTTCTCCAGGTAGGATTTCACACTGTCTAAAGACGGACATTGTTCTAGGCTGACCAAAAAAAAAATCTTAACATCTACATACAGGGAGAAAAAAAGAAAAGAAAAAAAAAAGGCATTTGCCATCTGCAGCACCTTCAAAGAGATTAAAAAATGTTTCCTTCCCTGTGTTCTTCCTTAGTGCATTACAATAAAGTCATGATGATCAGCACTGCTAACTGGCAAAGTAACTATGGAAGATTCACTTTAAAAATATAACACTGCGGTCCCTGGTTTCGGAGAAAAGCAGGAAAATACAAATCTTACACAAAGATGGAAAATCGCCCCTTAAATTGCAAACTATTGCTTTAAAACACAACAAGTGATTATTTTAAATGGTATCATCATTATAGGAATCTCTGTTGATGTATTGGATGGAGATGAGACAGAAAAGGCTGAGTCCTGCTTAAGGTTTCCAGCACGTAAATTCTCTTTTCCTCATGGGATGGAGTGCACATACGGCAGCAACATACTACAGCATTTTTCTTGTGTGCTGGAAAAACTACGTGGCACCCGTTCTCCAGCATTTAACAACAACACACCCCTTTTCATTGTTATCCCTTACGTAGTGTATGTCAGGGCTATACTTAACTACGTGTGAAAATCCAGTCTATTATAAATGTTATTTAAACCGAAAAAAATGCACAGTCTCCTTTCCTTTTGTAACTCAAGACTCGGCAATTCTAAGCTAAACCAAAATATACAACTGAGGGTTTTTTCATTCTTATTTTGAAAACTGATTGTTAGGGGTTATTCTTGCAGATGTGTCATCATCTTCTGTTACTGCTCTAAGCTCTCCATAGACAGCGTTTGCTACAACCCCCGAAACATTCTTTTAAGTGGTAAACATCCACTCAACTCCAGAGGCTTATGAGTGAACAACAGTTTGAAGGACATTTTACCCATTTTCTTAGAACATTAAAAACAAACATTTAAATATTTGGTCCCTTTTCTTTCAGCACTTTCCCAGCCAAACAGCTAGCAAATTTAACAGGGAGTGGTTTTTTTTAGGTTAATAAGTTTTCTGTAGGACTACAAAAACTGGCTAGCAGCATTAGCTGCTTCTCTTTAAACTGAAACTCTGAAATGAATAAATCATGTGTGAAGGCATGTTTTTATTAGAAAAAGAAAAGAGGGTTGTATAGTTGACATTAAGGGTATGTTTTTAAAACAAAAGTGTGGCTGTAGCCCTTGCAGCAGCACAAACAAAAACAGAGTAGGTGGCACAGGCCAAATATGATCCATTATATCCAAGGATCCAGTCAGTTTGGGTGGCTACGCTATGCCAAAGCTTGCTGCAGCTTTTTCTTCTGTTGCTCTTTGTGCAATACTCAATACATTACAGAACTGTAAAACTCAAATGTTTATTTTTGCATTCAGAAGTAACGCAACATTCAGTTTTATTTCATATCTACTTTTTCTAAGTCATCTATTAGAAAGATGTTGAGTAGGGGTTGGGGTGTTTTTTGACTCAGAAATTAACTCAAGTTAGACCTCAAGCTCCCTGAAGAGTGACCATTTCTAAGGTTCATGCACTGCCTAGACCAACCACAGCCTCCCCTGAGTCCCAAATTTAGGTGCAATAACTGTCAAAATAATAAACATGAATCAATGTGGTTCTGTATTGACACACAAATAACACTGCATAAACGCTGGTTACCAAACCAAGGGCTGACCAGGCTGTTCTTGAGGGAATGTTCTTCAGTGTGCCGGGAGGTGCATCCCCAGAACTGGAGTCACGAGTGACAAGAGGCACAGAGGGAGTTGGTCACATGAAGAGAATCGAATTTAGTTTTCACACTCGTCAGAGGCTTACAAGGTAGCAAGGCTTGGTATTAGCGTACAACACTGCAGGAGTGAAGGGCAGAAAGGGCTGTGCAACCTCCAATACTGGATGCCTTGAAGGACAGGCTGGACAATACTTGTCAGAGATAACATGAAAACAGTTCATCTTACCTTGCGGCATGAGGATGAGCTAAATTAGTTGTTTTGGTCCATTCCAGGGGTATTTTGCCATGATTCTGTGACTTCTGCAATCATTGATGTATTTTATATTCTCTTTTTTAATTTTTTCCTAATAGTCAGACAATATTAATTCTGGCTAGTATCAACACAAAGATTTTTCAGAGCAAATCCTGAAACATAATAAATTTGAATTTCCAATGCACAGCAAAAAACCCCACATCCAGACATAAAACTTCAAGGCAATATAAAGCAAAG